TGGAGTTGGGTTCTAGTGTAGACTATAATATAGGCTCTGATATAGGAGAGGAGAGGTAGGTAGGATGGGGTAGAGGTCCTGATGCAGAATCTGCCATCCTTCAAGAGGGCTATGAGCATCAAATGCTCAGTGAGCATCCCTAGTCTGACTAAGTGAGTGTTAAAGGTACACTCCTTGGGGATTCCCACCCTGGATGGGTTTTGTGCATGATGCAGTCTTTCAGTGAGGGGGCAATACGCTTCTCAGTCAGAGAAGATACTGCTAGCCCCTGCCTGAGGGGTGAAGGAGGCAGGACATCTCACCTAAGACAATAAGGGATGGAGTTGGCAAGAGCTATGAGAAATACTAGGGCCAAGGGCAAGTGTTAGAAGATTTGGAGACAGGGCTCCGGTCCCAAGGAAACTGGGCTGCTAGTCTAACAGCCAACACAGACTCTAGTTGCTTGGGTCTGGGAGAACTTGGGACCTCGGGGTTACATGGATGCCAAGAGCTCCAGGACATCAGATGCCACCCCCACCCCCACCCCAGTGTCCAGCTAAACTGAGCAACAAATCTACCGGCAAGGAAGAGTAGACAGGTATGTGCTGGAAGCAGAGGCCCCCAGAATGAATGCGCAGGTTTCACCATGCCAAAGGGTCTAGAGTGCTGACCCAAGGCCAGTAGCATTAATGTCACTGGGGAATTAGACAGGAATGCAGATTCTCAGGCCCCACTCCACGCCTACCGGATCAGAAACTCTGAGGCCCAGTACTAGTCCTGCAGGATTCTGCTGCCTGCATTGGCCTGTTCTGCTCCAGTGGGATCACAGGGCTGCCCTGGCAAGGCAGCAGCTACTAAGATGTTCACCACTGCGGTCTTTTGCATGAAAGCAGAGGCTTTCCCCACTTCCAAGAGGAGAATTCCTCCCAGCAGCCAAGTGTCTCTTTTCACTAGAGTATTTGAGTTACACAGGACTGGGGGAGGAGCTGGGAAATCAGATATTAACTAGACCTTGAAATACATATTTTTCCCAAATGGGTGCGTAGTCTTTATTTAAATCGGAGGCATTTCTAGCTAAATTTGGTGGCTCATTCGTAGGAAAACCGGCAGAACCTTGACTTCTGGGAGTCTCGATGATTGAAGCCATGTTAATATTAGCCGCTGGTTGAATCGCAGAGAGAAAAATTGAGAGCCTCATTCTCTCTGGGCAGGGACGGGGGAGGGAGCTCTCAGCTGGGCTAAGAATCTGCTAGTGCTAGTGCTGTGTCTGGGTGATTAATGGCATCAGACCTCTGTGCCCTCTTTAGCGTCCAGCCAGTGGCCTCAGGAAACCCCAGTGGCATTGGGCTTGTTTATGTGAAACAGCTCCCAATGACTGGGGACAAGATGTCAAGTCATTGGTGGGGGTGGTAGGGTGGGTGGGTGGTGGTGGGGGGGTTGGAGGGGGGGCACCGGACGATGAAGGAAAAGACAGCATCTGTATCTTCCCTCCCCAGCCAGGCAGCTGCCTGCAGCCTCCTGCAACGTGAAAACATGATGAGTTGACTTCATTAGGGCCTTGTGGTCTTCCCCCCACTGACAGCTTGAAAAGAGCGCTCTCATCGGAACAGAACAGGGTACCAGAAGCCACCGGAGCACAGACATCACAGAAGGAACTTCTCAGGAGGAAATGCTGAATATGGAAATGAGGATGGGGGCAGGTTCCATTCTCTACTCTGGGGTCCTGAGCATGCACAGTAGTTGAGATGAACTTAGCTATGTCCAGTTCACACCAAGGCAGTGTCCTGCCACAAGGTCCCTCCTCAGCTTTCTAAAACCCAACCTGGTAGCTTATTTTGATTTGATTCAGTCGGGTTTTCAGTATCTATTGAACTTCTGTAAGGCACAATAGTGTCCACAAGCATGCATGTGGCCCTCTTGAGACCTTTCTTGAAGGTGATATTGGTCTCCTTTTTATACAAGCAGAGGCTGGCAGGGTGGATAGGTAAGTCATTCAAGGTGACCCAGAGCTGAGACCACATCTGGAAAACAGGCCTGCCTGATCTGTGAGTCCACTGGTCTATGAGATACAGGCTCGGAAGCTAGGAGCTTCAGTTTCAAGATCCAAAGGCAGGGCTGGAGAGATGGTAAGAGTGGGTAAGAATGCATGCTGTGCAATCATGAGGACCTGAGTTCAGATCCCAGCATCCACACAGAAAAATGCCAGGCACTAACTTCACACACCTGTAACCCCAGCATTGTGAAGGTAGAAACTAGAGACACTGTCAGCCTGTTCCAGGTTCAGTGACAGACCCTGCCTCAAGGGAATAAGATGGAGAGTGACAGAGTGGGATGCCTGAAATCCACCTCTGGCCTCTCTGAGCATACAGGCTCATGAACCCATACATGAATGCATGCTTGCACACACACACACACACACACACACACACACACACACACACACACACACTGATAGCCACACAGCACATTAAAAAACACAAAATCTTGGGCCTGCTGATCTTTCATTCAACAATGAAAAAAAAAAAACCACCCAGCTTCTACAAAGATTTTTTTAAAATAATGTGCATACAGTTAAAAATAAATCAAATACCAAAGGGCTTATTATAATGAAAAAGAGCAGCCCTTGACGTGACCATTTTAAATTCCTAGGTCCTTCTTCTGGTATTTATGTTAATGTTCTGTCTCCACCTTTATGCCAGAAGGTACTTGTTTCTCGACTTGTCCTCATGTGACAGCTTTCTTACCTTTCCCCTAGCCCCAGCTTCTCAATTTCATCCCAGCAATGTTTTTTACTTAAATAAGTCACCAGGGTTTACTAGAATTGTACTTCCCTTCTCAATGACATGTGTGTGGGTGATGTGTGTGTGCCTCAGTGCTAAAGGAGGATATTAGGTGTCCAACTCTATCACTCTCCAACTTATTCCTCTGAGACAGGGTCCCTCATTGAGCCTAGAGCTAGGTCGGCAGCCAGCAAGCCATGAGATTTCTGTCCCTACCATATGCAATGCTGGAATTATGGGCACGGACATCCACACTCAGCTTTTTCACCTGACCTTGGGTTCCCATGCTTGCCCAGCAAGTGCTCTTACATATTGAGCCTTCTCCCCAACTCAAAGTTACTAATTTACTAATACACTTTACTTGCGTATTTCCTACTTATATTTCCTGAAAGCTTTCAAAATCAATCCGATGCCTTGCCTTGTGGGGGGAGAAAAGTAGTTCTCTTGTGACAGCTGTCCCGTTTCTGTCCTAGCCCCACCAGGCCCATTTCATTTGAGCAATGCTCTTTTACTTATTAATTACTTACTCATTAGTTTTTATAAATAAAATCCCACTGTAACCTATCTTATAGTTCCCCCTTTTGTCATTTCTAGAGATTTTATTACAAAAAAAGGATTCTCCTCTTACATATGTTTTAATTAATCTATAAGCATTTTGTGCAGCTAACCTTCACACACCATCTTTGCCTATATTTGGTCTGGATTCACTGTAATTTGATCCTCTGTCTTCCTCTATCTTGGATTACACCATAATTTGGCAGGAGCACATCCTACAGTATTTTTTTTTTAAAGGAACACAAGAAGTAATTTATCTGAGTCTCTCATGTCTGACAATACTTCTATCCCGACAAAGTTTATAATTTGGATGCATATAAAATTCAAGCCTGAAAATCATGTTTTATTTCACAGTGCAATAGTATGCCTTCACAGTCTTCATCCTGCTCTTGGGAACTTAAATAAATGCCTTCCCACTTGTTATTTTTCATATCATATATATATTTTTACCTTTGAAGGTTTTTATGATTTTCTTTCCCCTAGTGTTCTAAAAACCTGTTTGAGCCCTGAAGAAGAAGATACAATTTAGTTACAGGGAATCTTGTTTTTAAAACAAATTTTTTCATTTATAGATCTCTGCACATGTCTGCACAGGTGCATGCAGTGTCTGAAGAGGCCAGAGGAAGGTGTTGGATGGGATTTGCTGGAGCTAGAGTTGCATGCCATTGTGGGTGCTGGGAACCAAACTCTGGTCCTTTGCAAGAGCAGCAAGGTGGCTCTTAACTACTGAGCCCTCTCTCCAGCCCACCTGTTCTTTGATGGTGCATTCCCCTCTTCCCTCTGTGCCTTCTCTGGGTTTCCAGCTGCTGAAGTTCTGGGTTATCTATCCAAAGCCCTTGCAATTTTGTCCATATCTCTCTCACTTCTACCATTTTTCTCCTCTTTTTCTATAGAATTCTTTTTTGCTTTTGAAATTGCTCATTTATAAATGAATGTCTGTTCTCCTCTATTTCCTGTAGATCTTTTCCACTCTCTTGTTTCTTCATGAACCACAGATCCCAGTGCATTTCTCTATGGCTCTGCGCAAATGTTGACGATAGTTTTCTGTTTTCTTCTTCGTTTTACACTTTACTTTCTTCAGTTCTTTTTCCTGGCTTTGATATTGACAATGGATCGATAGGTTTATTTTAGTCTTTCCATTTTATGCTTGAGTCTTTTGTTGAGTGTCTGACGATCTTTCCTTGTTCATTTATGAAGTAGGCAATAAATAAAATAAATAGTTGAAATGTTCATGTCTGGGGCTGAGGGGAAGGATGATCAGTTGATGGCTGACTGTTCGAATAAATTACATTTACGCCCCTGTGAAGAAGGGTGTGATTAGTGAGTGCATTGCAGTGAGAATGTCCACGGCCACCAGTGTGAAAATATGGACACGGTCTGTCGTTGAGGCAGGGAGCCGGCGTCATGGCAGCAGGTGAAACCCTCCCCTGCTTTTGTCAATATCTTTTGACACCAGGCTTCCTGGTTCCTCCATCCCTGGCAGACCCATTCTAACTGACACCAGGCTCCCAGCCACAGGAGCCGAGCCTCCCTCTCCAAGGATCCACCAGTCATGCCTGAGTCCCATAGGACACCATCACCTCAAGTTGCCTCTCTTTTATCAAGACTGTCCTGAGACATCTGGGCCTCTGGGGTTAGGTCCAGTAGCACTTGGGACCTGGTAGAGGAAGACAGAGGTGCCTGGTAGAGCCTGCTCCAGGATCACCTGCCCAGGTCTTGCTCACTATACTGGGCTCTTTCTTTCCTGGCTGTGGCCAATGTACAAATGCTTGTTTCTTCTTCAGTGAACCAGGCCAGCCTGCTTAATGGAGACAACAGTGTCCAGTACAATGGCTCCAGGGCTGTGCAAACGAGGGAGTCATTTGCTTAACGTTTTGTAACAAAGAGCCCATTCAAAGAGTTTTCCCAAAATAAATAGTCTACTCCTGAGGTCATACCCATCTCTATTCCTTTCAGTACAAAAACTATTTTATCTGGAAGCTTTAAGCATTGAGCTTTAGGGAAAAACAGCAAGGGTCCAGAATTTTAGCTAGACCCTTTATACACATGTGGGTGTTCATATGTGGACACCAGGCACCAACACATTAAAAAGATAATGATTTCTGAGTGGAAGGGGAAGAGTGATTTTTGAAATGGAAATTGGAAGGAACTAGAGAGATGATTCAGCAGTTAAAAATATTCACTGCTCTTGCAGAGGACCCTGGTTCGATTCCTAGCAGCTGTGTGGTGGCTCACAACCATACATAACTTCAGTTCCAGGGGATTCTATTCCTTCTTCTAACTTCCTTGGGCACCAGGCACACATGCAGTGCACATCCATGCATGCAGGCAAAACATTCATGTAGTATGAATCTTAAAAGGTCTTATTAATAAAAACAAACCTGGAGCTGGGTATTGGAGTGAATGCTGGAAGATCAGAGAAGCAGAACAAGCCACAGCTTCCTCACCTCACCAATTCCTCAGCTGATCCTTTTTCCTCAGACTGGAAGCTTCTCAGTCCTCATCCAGGAGGTCTCAGCTGAACTGTGCTGCTCAAAAGCCTAAAAGCTTAACCAGGCTCTAGTTCCTCATCCTCACTCCTTAAATACCTTTCTGCTTTTTGCCATCACTTCCTGGAATTAAAGGCTGGTGTCACCATGCCTGGCTGTTTTCAGTGTGGCTTTAAATTCACAGAGATCCAGGCAGATCCCTGCATGTGGAATGCTAGGATTAAAGGTGTGTGTGCCACCGTTTTCTGTCCTCTATATCTAGTGGCTGTTCTGGTCTCTGACCCCAGATAAGTTTATTAGGGTGCACAATATTTTGGGGAACACAATATCACCACACACTCACACACACAAAATAAAATAAATCTAAAACAATTCTTTAGCAAGTTCTTTGCTTTATCTGTCTTTTCAGTAGTAAATATCTGTTTTGGTGTGTGTGTGTGTGTGTGTGTGTGTGTTCGAAACAGATGATAGTGTACATTGTTCATGTTATTTTGGCTGGTTCTCTAATGAAGTTGATCAGTGTGATAGGAATGGGGACTGCCTCAAGTTGGCCACATGCCCCTAAGAAACCCTGCCACCTCTTCTATTTCTCTTTACCGCCCTGGCAGTTGCCTTTGCTGCACAGTTAAATCTTGATCATGCTTCAGCAAATACATCTATGGTGTCAAAGAAAAAAAAATGAATCACCCAGCATTAATTCTAAAGCCCACACAGGCAAGGGGCCACTGAAATAGAAATGACATTTTCTGGCAGGTTCCCAGGCTTGCTGCTCTGTCTACCCCTTTGCCACCTACTGGTGGCCACCAATCCCATTTTAGAGTGCCAACCCAGAGATGCCCAGTGCCAGGCTTATGGATGGGGGTGGAAGTGGGTGGTGTGGGCTGGGGTGGGGGCAGAAAAGGCCAGGGTGTGTAGAACAGGTGTGACCCCAGGAGGAACTGCATATCAAAAAGGATCATGGGAGCTGAAGCAGCAGACAGACCCCTGTGGCCTCTAGCTAAGTGATAACTGGGGCATTAGCAGTGAGATATGAGAATGAAGTGGAGCGTTCAGGGGCTCCTGTGGACCCCCCAGGCCCATTTCAATGACTAGGATGGTGCAGCTTGACCTATCACCCACTGCCTCAGGACCTTGAACTCTCACATCTCATCCTGTGAAAGGGGAAGCTAAGCATAGCTCCCAGACATGCTGATTTCCAGAAAGTTCTAGATCATCTTAGCCTGCCAGCCTCTCCTAAATAGGTGGGCAGAGCATGGCTCTCTAGTAACCACACAGAACTGTCTACCCATCGTCTTATCAAGGCTTCTCAAATGGCATAACCTTGATTTCTCCCAGTCTCAGATCATCCCTGCCATCCTACAGGGGCATGTCAGAATCAGATCAAGTGTAGGAATTGTAGTGGAGCCTTATCCCTCTGCTTGTGCTGGGTTTCTCCCTCCTAGCCTTCCATCTCCTCTCTCTTCTTCCCAGGCCTGGGACCAATGATGCTGGGATGGAGCAACCTCTAGCTAACAAACACCATCAGTTCCCCAAGCTCAACCCTCTTCATGCCTGCCATCCCCTAACCACCAAGAGCTCACTCCTGCAAGCACCCAGCTTTCTACATGAAGCAGCTCTCCTTGGAACATTCTTGTTCCGGGAGTAGGGATTCCAGGGAGGGAGCATCCCTGAGAATAAGCCTCAGGCACTAGAGAGGAGTAGGAGGTAGATGCCAGCTTCTTACCCTCGGATGTGGC